GATAAAATAGAGATCCTAGACGAAAATATCACTATTTATTAAAAATAAACTATTTTTCAGAAAGACGGTGTCACTTACCTAAAATATTTGACAGGGAGCTTCCGATAAAAATTTCGGTTCGAGAGAGAAGTTCACTGTGTTTCGACCAGAGAGAGAGATCTCAAAGTTTTGTTTTAGGGTGGGAGTGCTCACATCCCCTATTTAAATTCTTATAAAGTATTATTATATTATTTTCTTACGCTCTACCTCATACCTGAGGTGTCGCGTTAAAAGCAAACGTTTATCGTACGAAAACCACGTCCGCTAAAGGACGCTGCCAGCTGCAAGCAGCAGGAGGCAAAAGCGGGGAAAGAAAAAAAGTAAAGGCAAAGCAAAAGTTAATTCAAAGCAAAATTTTTTGAAAACAGTGATGGTCCTTAAGGACCATCATATTTAAACAGAACATCACCTAATTAAAAGAATATTTTCTCCCTTTTTTTTTTGAAATTTTAGGATTGTTACAGGAACTCTCTCCATATAAAAAAATATGACAGCTTTAAAAAAGTAATAGTCGTGGGGGATTCGAACCCTAAAATACGTAAAGTTTTACAAATATGTTGTACAACCTAGTCGCCCCGAATTACTCCGCCGAGTCTCAAAACCGTGAGTGCAAATCTTCAAGAATGAGTCATAGACAGTGACACAAAAATTGTGCACTATTTTCTACTATTTTTATAAACGTTTAAAAATTCAAAATAAGAAATGGGTAGGTGGTTGTCAAAGTATCAACACATATCTATCTACATGCAATACCAACCAAAAAATATATTATCCCAATTTTTTTGGTTGGAATGGACGGCTTGGACTAAGAATCAAGGGATTGAACCAGTTCTGGGAAGGTCTTTTTCCAGCCCTAGTTTCCTCCCTAAAATCCCCCTTTCCCATATTTTTTTTTTTCTTTTTCTCTAAAGCTTATCTAAGAAATATTTCTTAGGTCCCCCCAAATCACCACCCCATATATCCTTATTTCAATTTTTATTTATTTTTATTTTTATGGATTATTGATTTTGACCAATTTGGACCGATCCATATTACCGATCTAACAATTTGACATGGATACGTCAGGTGAACAACCTGGCCCACTGATCCCGGTTTTGAAACACTAGCCCAATGTTTGGAAATGCATACTAGTTCTCGTATATTAAAAGGAAAAAGTTTATATAAGGTTGCAAATCCAGGTTTTGAAACATTGGCCCAATGTTTGGGAGATCAATTACCATTTGGTATTCATTTTTTCGAAATTACACATATCACCTCCTATTTTTTTTTTTCTAAGTTGCCCCTCTATCTGGTAATACAAACACCGGACATGGGACTATTTTTTCTGCGATTCCAAGTGCTCTTTATTGTTCGGTGTTTGAAATACCGGATAGCTAATGGTGTCTCCAAAACCCACGCCTAAGAAGTGAATAGTTATTTGTGTACTTCCTAGCTATTCATATGCGCCGTAGATCTTTTCCTCTTCTTCTTCTCTCCAACAGCACTGGTACTCCAATGTTTCCCTCTGGTTGTGCCCTAAGCTGGCAAATCCAACCAGAAGAAGAACAAGAGTTATGGTCTCTTACATTTTCCGGCGAGTTGGATTCTTTGATAACCAAGCTTGCAACCTCTTAATATCTTTGGCTCCTAGCTTTTCAAGTGAATAAATTTCGCAGACAGATGGATATTGAATGCGTTAGGGAATGCTATTGTCGAAGTGCATGTCCCGTGATGCACGAACAACATTTCCTTTTCATAGTGTGTACAAAAAAGACTCTCTTTCGCAATTGAGGCCTTGGACTAGGAATCTAGCTACTGAACTAGTTCCGGGAATGTCTTTGTCCAGCCTCAGTTTCCTCCCTAAAATCCCCCCTTCCCATATATATATATATACATTATTTTTTTTTTTTCTAAAGCTTATCTAATACTTTTTTGTCCCTCTAAATCACCACCACACAAATCTTTATTTCAATTTTTACTTATTTTTAGTTTCAAGGATTATTGATTTTGACCAATTTGAACAGATCCAAATGGCGGATCCAACAATTTGACATGGATACATCAGGTGAACAACCAAACCTACTGATCAAGGTTCTGAAACAGTGGCCCAATGTTTGGAAATGCGTACTAGTTCTCTTCTATTAAAAACCAAAGAATATGATAAGTTGTTTTTGCCAGAAGATCACGAATCTGACTAGGTTGCGACGAATCCTCACGCAACAAGGCGAATAATTAAACACCATGACTAGATCTATCGTTACAACAAATAGAGAATAATTGAAGGGCACCTCTTTATATTTGTATATAACTAAATTAGTAGTTAACATATAAATTACATGCCCCTAAAAGAACAAATATAAGGAATTCACCAATGTTGTTACATGTTGAAATACAAAATGGAGAACTGCTCAAAGACGCTTTGCGGTGTAGAGGTGAACACTTCGTTTATCAATGGGCTGTGTCGGCCTTGCGTTCGCCGCTGCTTTCTGTGATATTGAAAGGTTGTAAGTAATTGTAACTTCTTTGTATAAAAAATAAATGGTCACATTGTATGCAATTCCTTTGTTTAAGACGGATCACGTACAACTAGATATTAATACCAAAAATAATTGGTGCACTAAACTAAATAAATGATGCAGTAATATATATATTTTATCATGAAAGTTGAAAGGCTTACACTGTGAACTGCAGCCCTCAAGAGGATCAGCTGCTGTCTTGAAATCGTATTCACCTGAAGATTGAACAAAGGTAGGTGAAAAGAGTTAAATGGTGGTCGAAAAGAGTAGGTAGTAAAGCATGTTAAGGATGCAGATTTTGAGGGAGAAAGTTGCAACCTTCTTGACTACATTCCATGCAACGCCTTGTGTGCATGGTGGAGTGGTGAGAGAGCCCATATATCTGTAATACTTTCTACTACCCATCTTTATGTGCCTTGGATCCACCACGCCCATTTGTGCTTCAGCATCTTTAGAATCCGCAATTGATAATATATTACCCATGACCTAAAATGATAAAAAACCGGACTTTTTTATTTCTTCAATCGCAGACAAAATCGTCACGAATTTTTTTTGTAAAGCAATGGAGAGAGAGAGAGAAACGAAACGCTTGTCGACCAACGTCGAAAAAATTGGGAAGGAGAAAGCGACGATGCCATATTTGTTATCTAGACACAAACGCATGTGCCTATTTATTAGTTTGATATGAGTGTCAAAATCAGAAAAATATGATAGCTAGATACAAACACATGTGTCTATTTATAAGTTTGCTATGTGTCAAAATCCCAAAAAAAACATCTAGATATTGCACGTTTGTACAATATAAAAATATTTATATAGAGAGAAAGTATATAATGAGACCATTTACCTTTGGTACAAGGTAGTCACAAGTAATCTTGACCATTAGATGTGAAATTGCGTAGCTGCATTTATTTCATTGACCTGACACACCTAAGCAAAGATTTCACGTTGAATGTTGTAAATAATTGTGACGTCCTCGTATAAACGATAAATGGTCTCATTGTATACAATCCTTTACATATATGTGTACTAGTATATATACATATTTTAATATTTACTTGTAGAAGTTACATATATGTGTAAAATTTATGAGTTGTACAAGTTACATCCCAAAATTTAAGATCTAAAAAGTATCCCTAACATATATTTTACAAAAAATTAAGCAGACTCATGTTTGATTACATAACCGGGGCTCGGAACCCAGATATGGGCCAATCCAAGTAACTTGGAACCGGTTATGGTTAACCGGAAAAAACTGGGCAAAGTTAGGCCTGGCCAAAGATCATTAAAAAAGCGATTATATAAACGACTTTGGCACGATCGGACGAGAGAGACCATCATTCCCCTTAGATGGAGTTTAAAGAATATATT